CAAATAAAAAAATTATCGAATAAAAAAGCATTATCACGCTCCTATCCTATCAATTTCCATTATGCTGTTTTCAGCAACATGTAAAATAATGTCATTATCTCCTTCAAAATGAAAAGGATGAAGCTAAGACACACCAAGCGTACTCACCTCGGGATAGCCTCCCAGAATCTTAGTTGTTCAGGTATGTTCAACATAGACTAAATAATCTCCAGCTACAAAAAGTTAGCAAAAGTTTTATCCAAGCATGTCAATTTTTTACCAATAGTTTACTTCAGAGAACATCTCAACAGTGTGTTAGAAGACTGAAACTTTCTATAAAATATCACAACTACTACCTCTAATATATGATGCAGAAAGACAGATGCAGCGCTGTTTCTGTGAATAAATATAGCGAAGTTGCAAAACTTTTTGACTACCCTATGTAAATATGAAATTGAGTGAGAAAATTAAAATCGTATTTTCAATTAATTCAAAACATAAGTTTGATCTTAACTTAAATATTTTGTTTACATAAAGGTTAATGTTAATTTTCAAGTACTACTAAATTATATGCATGTTATATTAAATACACAAGGGTGAAAAAGTGAGACATTAACTACTTCAGAATGTTTTGAAGTGCGAAGGTTGTACGATGGAAGTACAAGAGCCTCGATTTTTCTCCCTTGTGAATACATCAATAAATTGTTTTCTTTTGTCAGTATTGATACGTTTTATGTATTAACAACTTTTGTGTTTTGTTTTCAGTTTCGGTTTGCCTTAAATACATTATTTTGACACGCTAATAAGGCCAAAGATCTGAATATATGATTCTATTACACACCAAATGATTAAAAGTCACCAAATGCTGTTTTAGTAGCAAAAAAAGATCTTTCTTCTACAATATTTCTGTGGAATAAACTTATTTCAAAAACTTTGCTTTGTGTTTTTATTCAAATCAACTGTCAACTACTAGTATTATATTGAAACCTGTTTACAATCTGTTATTCAAGAACCTAAGAAGTAAAGGTCTTTATTACACATTGATGGCATTTAACATCATCCATACTAATGAAATATCGTATATTGATAAAGATATCTTCAATGAGAGAGATGATACTATAGTACAACAACAACCTGATCCTTCAGATCTGACATTCTATGATTTTTGGTCATGCCATTTATTGAAACAAAGCCTTGATTTCCAATCAATATATTCCTCAAATAAAGAAGAGTATCAAAGAGACGTTTGATAAATGGATTCAACCAATGCAAATGTGTATAAATAACAATATCTCTCACAGTAGCGGATCTAGGATTTTGGAAGAGGGGGGGGGCGATTTTGGCTAAAAGCTATTTTTTGAGTCCAACCGAAGTAGTGTAAACCTAGGTTTTCGTTCATTTTTGCTGTAAAAAATCAAAAAAAAATTCGAAATGGGGGGTGGGGGGCGATGGGGGTGATCACCCTCCTAAGTCCGCCACTGATCTCTCAATATTTTAAAATTGCTACCCATCAACTGTAAAATTCTAAATCAAACAATATTTTTGAGACTCGATCTGATGCGAATTTAGTTCTCATAGATATCTTTTCATTTATTTTAGACATATAAAAAATGGATTATAGGTCGTATAAAGTCAAAATAAAACAAATGTGCTCGTATAAACGAACGTTGATTCTCGCACGAAAATCCACGTCATCATCAAATGATAAAGGTAACACATTTAACATTAAATGCAAGGACTTTATTCTTTTTGATTATGATAAATGAATGATCTCGCATCATTATTTATTAATTTAGGATTTAGTAAGCAAATAGATGTACAGATATATGCATTTTAATATACACTTTCTTTCTTTTGAGAACTGAAGAAAAAAGAGGTGACGTGGTATAGTCAAGCAAAAAAATAAAAATGTGTTACTTTTATCGTTCGTATTTAATTCGATAGGTTCTATACAGACGGATTCAGCCACAGAACGAAATAAAAAATATTATATTTACTGACATAAATACCTTCCATTCTTTTTATTACGAGAAAAAAAGACGAAAACTATATATAAAATATTTTTCTACGTCGACTTAAGATTAAAAAAAAACATGCCTTGATTATTAATAAATAATCGAACGATCAAGTGCGAATTGCACCACATGTATTGACAATGGCGTTAATGATCGATCATATTGCTGCATCGGAAAAATATCGATTTGAAACATTTTCTACGTAATTAATTTTGTGTAAATTTAATTAATTTTATAATATTCTATTTAGTCTATTGAACTTACCCTTAACAACACTACGACAATTAGCTCTCGCTGGTTTTATTTATCAAAATTCCGAATGTGCATGTTTACAATGTGGTATTACTATTCATTTAAATGATTTAGATGAAAATCATGCATATCCATCGAATTATTTTCGAAAATTACATCGTGAAAAAATTTCTTATCTTGGTAAACGTTGTGGATTTTTATTATGTGAATCCGGTACAAATATTGATGATCTTCATCCATTATTACCATCTGAACAAGAAAAAAAATTAGAATGGGATGATGCCGAAGAACCAGATTTTAATGATTATACGACGCGTTTAGCAACATTTCATTCATGGCCATATTTACAACAGAATGAAAATACTTTTGTTACACCATCTACAATGGCTAAACATGGATTTTATTATTCAGGTATATTATTTTTTCTCAAAATAATTATATTAATTAGCAATAATTTTAGGAATTAATGATGGTGTCACTTGTTTTTATTGTGGTAATACATTAATAGATTGGTCCGAAACAATTCATTCATCAAATGAAAGTATTGTTCAACTCGAACATGCTCGATTTTTTCCGTGTTGTTTTATAAATTATACAGCGGGTGGAAAATTCGTTGCTAATTCTGGTTATTTTCATGTCGTGTCCGATCAAGGTTATTATTTATTATAATTAATACAAATTCAAAATAAATAAATATTTTTAATCTTTAGAACGTCGTTCTCGTAACCCAATGACATCGAAAATTGTTGAAATTTCTAATAAACCTCAATCAATTGATCAATGTTTATTGACATTTGAAAATTGGCCGGACTGTGCTCCAATCTCCCCTAAAGATTTAGCTAGTACTGGTTTTTATTATTTAGGCTCGGAATTACGAGTGAAATGTTATATGTGTGATCTTGAAGTTGATGATTGGCATCATGGTATGACCGCACTTGGTACACATAGTCGACGTCAGAATAATTGTGAAATAATTCGAGCTATTCTCAGTACTAAAACAAGTGATATTCAATGTGTTAATGAAAAATGGCGTTTACAAACTCTAAGTGAATTATCATTTGGAACGAATTGTGATCAACGTTTATGTCGAGAATTAGCTGCATGTGGTTTTTATCGTTTTAAAAATACAAATAATATTCGTTGTGCATATTGCGGTGTTTTAATTCAACCAAAATCGAATACATCAATAATGTTTCAACATCGTTATTTAGCTAAACAATTAAAAAAATCCTCAATTCTCGATTGTCTTATAGTTCGTGCACAATGTCCAGCAAATATAGTTATTCCAGATCGAGAACGTTTTCCTGAATATCCAGATTATCAATCTGTATTTGATCGAATAAAATCATTTGAAAGTTATAAAGAACGATATAAAGTTCTGGAAGATTTTATAAATGAAAGAGCGAATGCTGGATTTTTTCTTGATAGTAAGAATTTTTATTTCAATTATTTAAAGAAATATATGTTTTTGTTTTTGAATAGCAATGAAACGTATGCGTTGTTTTCAATGTGGAAATTCGTTATTAATTAATGATAAAAAATTATATGATAAATATACAGATTATGATATAGCAAAATTACATGCACATTTTTATCCAACATGTGAATGGGTAAAAGAAATATTAGGTTGTAAATATATTGCACAAGTTCTTTTAGATCGTACTAAATCAAGTAAATTTTATTTTAAAAATCAAACTATATTTTATTATTTATTCTTAGATGAATTTGAACATCAACAATCATATCATACACAAGTATCATCGGCATCATCACATGTTACTTCAAATTCTTTTTCAACAACATCAGGCAGTATGGATCGTAGATCTTCGAATGAATTAAATATAAGTGATTATTCGGAAGAATCTGATGATGAAGGTTATGAAACTGTAGCAACACCATTTCGAGCAAATTATAGTGATTTTATATCACCAATACAATCACCATCACCTACGGCATTATCGCATGAATCACCAACACTATCAATAGCAGAAGTATGTACAGATATGATTCCTACGAATAATCATAATCAAATGACATCACCTATTATGATACATCAAATAAATCCATTTCAACAATTTGCATTACAATCAAAATCACCACCTGTTGATATTGCTCGTAATGATATTACACCGGTTGATCCTCATGCATATTTTGCATATGAATCGAATCGTTTGGCTTCTTTTAAAAAATTAAATCGTGGAACATTTGCGCAAGTTAATATTGAAGAACTTGCATACGCTGGATTTTATTTAAATTCTGAAGGTACTATGCTCAAATGTCCATGGTGTGTTATTGAATTAACAGAACAAAAATTTGAGAAAATCTTATTTAGAAGACCAACTATTCCTCGTTCACCATTAAATGATGAGCTATGGACTGCTATGCGCGTTCATAGACATGCTATTGGACAACATACAGACAAAACTCTTTCATGGTGTCCATGGGTTAGACGAGAATTAGGTGGAATTTATCCAAATGTTATCTTGGTATGAGATTTTCGCTAGTTTCTATCTTCTACAACGATTCTTTTTTGTTATTTAGAATCAAAGTCATATGCGTTATCCAGAATATCCAACCTATTCAACTATAGAAAAACGTATTAAATCATTTGAATCTAATTGGATTTATCCAAGTGGTAGTCGTTTATCGAATGCAATGATGGCTGATGCTGGATTTATATATTTAGGTGAAGGAAAAGTATGTTGTTATTATTGTGGCAATAGATTACACAATTTTGAACCACTGTAAAGAAATTTCATTTTCCATTAATAACAACTTTTATTGAATTTAATTTAGTGATTGTCCATTTGAAGAACATGTTGTATTTCATCCATTATGTGATTATATGATACAAAAACGTGGTTTATCTTATATTGAACGAGTCTTGAAAGAATCTCCACGAAGTATATTTAAATAAAAATGATTGATAATTTTTATATCGATATTTTTAGTTCCACATGCACGACAAAAATATGAAATTAATGGCACACAGAAAATTAAAAGTATTTTTTTTGCTAAAACTGGTATGAAATCTATATTTATATCTATACATATATATATCATGATATATTTGAAGGTCGAACAAATAGTAAAAATAAACGTTTACCAGTGAAACGAATTAATTTACGATCATCAACAATGACAAATCATAATATATTAAAGTCAACAACAGATAATTCAGATATAAATGAAAATAGTTGTTATCTATGTTGTGAAAACATAGCTACATATTCATACGATCCCTGCCAACATTGTCCAATGTGTGGTGAATGTTTTGCAAAATTAACTAAAGAACATCATGAACAATGTATAATTTGTCTTCAACAAGCAACAATACATTCACGTGTACCAATAACTTTTTTGAAATAGATTTATAGATAAAAAAAATAAATAAATCAAAATAAATAGATAATAGAAAAAAATTCTTTACTTTTTCAGATGGCTAGTTCAGTTGCGCGAACTATTAAAACAGTCACGGTCATAGGCGGAGGTCTCATGGGCTCAGGAATAGCTCAAGCAAGTTTTCATTCGAATAAATTTTCTAAGTAATTGAAACTAATTGTTCAATAGGTTGCTGCGACAAGTAATTATCAAGTTATACTTGTTGATCAAAAACAAGAATTTCTTGATAAAAGTTTAAATATCATTGAAACAAGTTTAAAACGTATAATTAAGAAGAAATTTGAAAAAGATCAGGCAAATGGTGAAAAATATTTAGCTGATGTTCAAAAGCGTATTAAAACAAGTTTAAATGTTAATGATGCTGTTAAATCAACAGATATTGTTATTGAAGCTATTGTAGAAAATCTTGAAACAAAACAAAAATTATTCAAACAAATTGATCAATCTGCACCAAAGTTTATTTTATTTTAATAATAAATTTTAAAAACTTTCGTTATATTTAGGCATACAATTTTTACAAGTAATACATCATCATTACCAATAACCGAAATTGCAAAAGATGTTCAACGACAAGATAAATTTGGTGGTTTACATTTCTTCAATCCAGTGTAAATACAAAGATCAGAATATTTACGATTTTGCGCGTCTCTTGTCAGTAACAAATGTCAAGTATAATTTGATTAGTCTGAGAAAGCTACATCATGTGATATAGATAGATTTAAACAAAACAAGAATCGTAGATTTTTGAAGTGACTATCCGATTCCGATATAAAAATTTTATTAAACGTACAAAAGACAAAAGCCGAAATTTGATTACTTATACTATTGATGTATTATTCTATTCTATACGATCAATAATAAGAGTTTATAATCATTTTATTCGAATGAGTTGAAAGAACTTAATTTATAGCGTAGAAATCTTATTGATTCATTCTCGTTTGTAACAATGAATAGAAAAATAATATTTAAGACCATAGAAATCAATCGAATTGGTATAAAAAGAAACTAATTATTATCTTCTGAAGTTTCTTACAAAATAACACTCTGAACTTATTTTCAATATATTCTGAACGGATATTAATGATCGTTTTCAGATCGAAAGCGAAACTTAAATCCTCTCGACAGTGCCCATAAGTTCTTCTCTTATTATTTCACTAGTTTTAGAGAAAAACAAAAATATCATATAAGTAGACATTTTCTTCTTAGTACAAAACTCTTATTTCCCGTAAGACTTCTATAAAAAAATGTCTTGATTATCATTGATTGCAATCAGATTTCTTTTGATGTAGCATCTATCTATTATGATAACTATCATAATTTGTAGCGGAGATGGACTGATTTGTTTTGTAATTATATTTCTAACATTCCTATTAATATCTTGTTTTTTATATCTTAGACCAGTTATGAAATTACTTGAAGTAATTCGTACATCATCAACTAGTGATGAAACATTTCAAATAATGTTAGCGTTTGGTAAAGCATTAGGAAAAACAACTGTATCTTGCAAGGTTTCTTATTTTTGTAATATTTGACAACAATCACATGTCTGAATTTTATATTATAGGATACTCCAGGATTTATTGTTAATCGATTATTGGGACCATATCAAGCCGCAGCCATTCGAATGATTGAACGTGGTGATGCAACACCTGAAGGTTGTTTATATAGATAACATATAAAAATCGATTAATTATAATAATTTTCAAATGTAGATATTGATACTGCAATGAAATTAGGTGCAGGTTATCCAATGGGACCAATTGAATTATTGGATTATGTTGGATTAGATACATGGAAATTTGTTAGTGACGGTTGGCATAAACGTTTTCCAAACGATCCAGAATTTCAACCAAGTGAATTAGTAAATAAACTTGTTTCTGAAGGCAAACTTGGCAGAAAAACTGGCGAAGGTTTTTACAAATATTCCAAATAAATTTTTTAAACACATTTATTTTATCATATAGTTAGCTTTATAAAAAAAAACATTTTTCACCGAGAACGTATATTGCAATAAAAAGAAAACAAAATATATATATTTTTATTTTATTTTATCAGGAACAACATAATGCAATATAACTTGCACTATATAAAACACTTTTACCGCATTTTGGACAATATTGTGCTTGATAAGTCCATTTTTCTAATATATCTAGAATACATCTAAAAAATAAAAGAAAATATTGAGCATTTATTATTCTTGATTTTTTCTTTTTCTATTTACTTTTCATGAAAGATATGTGCACATGTTAAAGCTTGAATTTGATCTGGTTGCATACCCATTGGTTTTTCACAAATTTTACATAAAAGATCAGCATCTTGATAAAGACGATGTGCTATATTAAATGCATGTCGTGCATCTTCTAATTGATTTTCGGAAATAAGTATACGCTCATTTAACAAATGACATCGTGCTTGCATTAACTTATTTCCCATTGATATTGAAGTTGATAATGCTGTTGCAAGAATTTCAGATGCCTTAAAAGAAAAAAAAAGTACTAATTTTATCGAAGAATAATATATATTTGAATTTTGTACGTGCTTATAAATATATCAAAGTATTTCTATCTAATTGTCATTGTTCAATACATGTCTAAGTCATTTGTTTATAATAGAAGCAAAAAACTATCATTAAACTCAATTCTATCCGGCGTTTTTTTCTTTCTCTTTCCTTTAGACATAATAGATGAAATAAATATCATTGAAATGTCTATAATAGACATAACACTCTCATCAAATATATTCATTATAGTAGTAATATGAATAACCATATGAATTTGTTATTAACTACGAAAAAATCTTATAAAAATGTTAATGTGAGAAACATTCTTCTTCTTCTTCTGTTTCAAATATTATATGAATATTTAGTTTGTCACTGTTATTATCATTAATTTTTATCCATATATGAAAATAACAGTATGTATATCAGTCAAAGAATTGATTTAACATGTGTTATCGCTTACCATTTGTGTATGTGTTCCGAGTGCTAATAAAGTTTTGACAAGACCAAGCATGGCTAGCGTAGAACTATATCTATCATTCATATCTTGTAACATTTGAATAGCTGCTTCATATTTTTTACAAGCAACCTTATAACATAAAAATAAAAGATATTTAATAATAATATGTATTATGTATATATAAGTAGCCTTATCATAATAACTCTCAAAATAATAATTTGTTAAGTACCTCATTATTATTTTGTGAACGTTGAATATCACCAACACATACAAGACATTTAGCTTGAACAGGTCGATCACCAATACTAGATGCAGCACGCATTGCGTCCTATTATAATAAATGTATTTTTTTTAATCATATAAAAGAAGAATTTGTTATAAACCTCAATACATTTAGTTGCACCTGGATAATCACCCATAAGTCTTAATGATGTTGCTAATTTTAATTTCGTTAAACGTACAAATTTAGAACTATTATCAGCATTTTGTTCACTGGCATAAGCTGCATTAGATAAAGCTAATTCATGTGCACGACGTTGAAATGCAAGTGCTTTTGGAAAATCTTTTAACGCAAGAAATACCTTAGCAGTTGTACCAAGTACTTGAACTTCCATTAAATAATCTTCACATTCATGTGAGATACTTAACGCTTTATCAAGACATTCAAGTACTTTGGGAAAATTACATAAGCCTATATAAGAATCAGCCGAAACAAGTAAAGCATAACCTTGTATAGAATCTCCTGTTGGTGAATATTGCATAGCTGAACGTGAATAGCTTACTGCTTTAAAATAATCAGCAAGCATTTCATTTGCACGTGATAGATTTAAATACGCTTGAGCACGAAGTACATTATCTTCAAGTTCATGAGCAATATCAATTTGTTGTACAGCATGAACAAGATAATCTTTATTTCGTCCACGATCACGTGATGCTAATGCTAAATAACCAAGTGTAGAAAAACGTAATCGACTATCTTTCATTTTTGGTAATGCTGTTGTCCATTTTTTAATAGCAGCATCATAATCTTTTTCTGCATATAATTCAAGGCCTTCAGCAACTTGTCGACGAGTCATTCGTTGACCCATTATAATTGAAGAAGGAAATGAATTTGTGTAGTTCTTTTGTTTTTTTTTTCTGAATAGGTACGCACGAACAAAATAACTATGTAGTGTAAATATTGATAAAGTTTGTGAATCAATTTTGGAATGATGATGGGTAGTAAATAGAATGATGACGAGCAAGAAAATGATTAGATGAGCGACTTCATTTTCGATGAGAATGATGATGCATGTCGGTGCGGTAGTTTTTTACTCTGAAATAATCGATCAAGCCAAAAGAGAGAAAAGGAAAATATGAGAAAAAGAAATGGAACGCGAAAGAGCTTTAGTCAAATAGCAACAAGAGAGAATATTGTATTGTCATGTCGCATCTTTTCTCTTATCAGCCATATAACGACGATCGAGAAAGAGAAGCTAAGAGATAGAGAAATAAAGAGACAAACAACGGGAGAGAGAGAGAGAGTCTACGATTGAAAAACTCTTCTCATAAAATAGGTTTCTCGAAGGCATTTATAGTTGTATTAGCTATGATATGTATACATGCACATGTGTGGTACATCAAATATTAGTTGATATTAATCAGGTTGGGCTCTTTTCACTTCATAGTCATATATATATCATAATAACAAGATAATAAAATGAACATTAATATATTTTTCTATGCTCGAACAGATTTTTTCAATACAAATATGCTCAACATGGAAAAAAATAGAGTAATGATGGATAATAGAAGGGTTATTCGCTTTTGCATTTAACAAGTTTTTATCTAATCAATGTATCGTAGTATAAGCACTAGAGGCGTACTTATTCGCGCGTCTCGCGTGCCTTAGATTCTGCTGACTCGCTCTCTCTCTCTCTGTTTCTCGCTCGCTGTCTTTCCTTCTCTAGGGAATTTGACCCTCGCGATAGAACATCAGTAGTGATAATATGTATGTGCTCTCATTGAAATAAGGATAAGTGTCATATGTATAAACCCAATTAAACACATGAACAAAGTGTTTAAATACATTTTTTTTATTCTTTTGTATTACTGCAATATGCCAAGGAGTCTATTTTAAAATCATTAACCCAATAAAAAAAATCATTTTGACTTGAGCACTGATCTCGAAAAGTCATCCACGACACAAAAAGCATCGTTCGTGTACTTTCTTCCTTCTCACACTTCCTCTTTGCTCAATTATTTATAAAAATCAATTTTCCAAACGGTTATTCTAGCGTCTTTTCGTCTCCTTTTTTCTCTCCTTCTCGTCTTTATTCTTTTCCTAGACTATTCCGTCTTTTTGTCGTCTATTACTTTGAGCATACGACACACATACGTCGGATAGAACTCGATTCTCCTCCTTCTATTATCATCCGATATTTTTTCATGACGTACCCTACACATTCTTTCTTCCGTTGTTCTCGATGAGAAAACACCAAGCACACACATCTATACTCTCTTTTTCCTTCACAGTTAACTAGCGGAGCGTACATACACAAGATTTATCGCTTGTGTTCCATTGCAAGAATTGCATGACGACAAAAAACAGGAAGTCAAAGGAGAAAATTTTACCGTCATGTCAAAAGCTGTCTATTTTTTCATTGAACATACTTCGTCTAAATTAAACTCTCGAGCATTGTTTATGTAAGTGGTCGAGTACGATCAAGATATGATTGTTTTTTCGTCGCATAATGTTTGTTTTATCCTTACTATAAAATGAACGACAATAGCAAAATCAACAGAATTAGAACTGAAGAAGAAAAAAAAACTCCGAACAAATAGTCACAAATAATATATAAATGATGATGATGATAATGATGATGATCATAGTGACGACGACTAGGATAATAAATATTATAGTTAAGACATGCACGAATGCTAGTGTGATAATTGACTTCCGTCTTAACTTTCCTTCTGTTGCTAACTGATCTTCATTTATTTCTCTCTCGTTTTATGTTTATTGAATCATAAAAAAACAAGATTCAGTTTTCAATACAGATAAAAGAAAATATGTATTTATTAAAATACCAACCGTACATAATTTCATTATAACAATGCGACCTTATCTACATTCATCATTATAATAAAATTTGCAATCGCATGTATGCACATAAGTGTCAAAATAGTTACTTACTGTTTTTTTGCCTTCATTTAGTTTATATGAAACAAATAAGATCAACGAAATCTAATCATTGCTTAACAGACGTCGTTACTCGTATAGTTTTTTTTGCTATTTATAATATAGAAAATAGTTGTCATTTGTCTTTAGGCGAAAAAAACACTATAGTATTGTCTATATTTAACCTTTGTCTTAGTTTTGCTAGTATCATCTGTTATTACTAAGTATTTTTAATAATAGTTTGCAAAAGGTTATAAATTGTGACATATATACGATGTCATTATTGAAAAAAAAAAAATTTTTTCCTTTCATTCAAAGTCAGAAGACAATCTCACTCGGAAGAGTAATCAAAAATAATAAAGGACATGAAGTGTCATTTCTTCTAAAAAAAACAAAAGAAAAAAATTAGGCAATCGATATATACCTAGAAAAGTAGTGTGTGATTAAAAAGAAGTCGTTTTATTTTCTAAATCTTAAATGCATGACAATAAATATGTGTATTTAAATGAACATAAACAATGAAGTTTTATTTTTTGTTCATGTTAAGAAAAAAGTTAATATATACTTACAAAATACGGAACTATTTTATGAAAATAATAAATGTAAATATATCTTCAATAGATTCCAGTTTCATTATTTTTCTTCAGGATTAAACGCATCCATCTGTGGTAAAATATATAATTGATGAAAAACAACATCTTGAGGTGCTTTCTCTACTATTTAGTTAATGTAATTATATGTAATATGACAAGTAAAAGATCAAAATAATGAATATAAATAGATTTCATGCAAAAAAAGCAGAATGTCAATTATAGCGTGTTGAATTTTCTTTTTATTATATGACAAAATAAGAAAATATTTATTACTATTTAATAGTTAAAATTCTCGAAGAAGTATAAAGGAAACTAGAGCGCTTATATATATAAGCAGACTTTCGAATATTTCCCATATCGTGACAAACCTACCAATGTGATTTCGAATATCTCTATTTAATTAATAATATAAGTATTTTATTCTCCGTTGGTTTAAATTAAGAAAATATAAATAATTAAAATTTATATTTCGATAATATTATATTAATAGAAACAAATTAGTTAATGATATTTTTTACATGATTATTGATCTTATCTTAATTGCATATAATTTAAAATAGAGTGAAATCTCTTGTTGACATTAATAAAAGGTTTACTGTTTTTAATCAACAAGGATTATTCAATGTCTACATTATGATTAGAAAGCATAAATAGATAAATCCATGTTTATCAAAAACCTTGAGAAAGACATAATAAAAATAAAAGAATAATTCATAGACTTTCAACACTTTCCTTAACTAACCTTGTTTCATGTACGATATTTTCAGGAGACGAAAATTTACGGTAGTATGCTTGATTATTATTTGAAAAATGATTTTATTCAAAAGTATTAACCATGAATAATGTCATTTCCTTTCTTTTAAATAATAATAGAAGAAAAAAACCCATTAACTGTTGATTTCAAATTCTTTTATATATATTTTGTTTTTAATTATATATTAAAATAAATATTATATGCGTTTCATTTTCTTACATTTATTCTCGTTTAAGATTAAATTGATCTTACTCTTGAAAAGTTTTTATCTTGACTGTTTGCAATCAAATGTCAAATATATATCACTCCTATTTGATCATGTCGGCAAAGTCATTTCAGAGAAAGAGAAACGAAATATAAAAATTCGACATTTATCGTATCTAAAAGTGAGTTGAATTCTATTCTTTTGTTCTAATAGCACCATATCATTAAATATTCACACGAAACAACAAATGTTGTGCAGTATTCATAATGCGAGAACATGACCGCCACTTAAAATATTCATCTCCTATCAGCTTGCTATCACCTTCTTTTTCTTCTTCTTTCAAAACAATGAATAGAAGAAAAAATGAATTATTAATGTTTGACAATCCTTTCTCTTTCTCTGTTTTACTTTCAAAAGTTTCGTTTAATATTGAACACATATTATAATTCCTATGTAAATATTTAAACTCATTTCTAGTAAAGACTATTCTTCTGTTCTTTTACTTTAGACAATCATATTAAAACAGCCAACTAAAGACAATATGTTATCTACCTTATAGCTCTATTAAACTGTCATTCGGTCGTATAATATATTGAAAAACCTTAACTTTTGATTTATAACAGCATGTATCGATTATTAACATTTTATATTCTTTTTTCTATCCTATTATTTATGCCAATTGATGCTGCAAAAAAACGAACATATAGTAAGACAATGACATAGAATTTCAATATTCCTTCTTTTTTTTATTGTTTTAAGCAACGGGTATTGCTGATATTGTTCGAACAGCATTTCGACGAACTTTTCATCATTTTATGTTTCGTCAAACATCTTATGATTCAGATGTCTTTCGTTATACTCAATTATCACAACGTCGTATAGGAGGATTATATGCAGGTAGATATAAATATTTATATAATGATAAAGTTAAGTATTTTATTAAGATAAAAATATGAATTATTTTAGGAGAATCATGTCGTTTATCAGCAAATATATGTTCACACGATGAACAATGTTGTTCAGGTCGTTGTATATGTCGTCGTTGGTCAATAATGGGAGAGCAACGTTGTATTAGAAAATGTTTTTAAAATAAGAAAAATAATATTGAATTATGAAATTGAATTTGGCAATATGTCTGATAAAATTATTATCATGATAATAATGGAAAATAATCAAATTAAATTACTATAATGGAATTCTAATGAAATATTATAAATAAGATAAATTATCTGTTTTGTTTTATATTTTTCTTGATTGTTGAATATTTGTATAGTTTGTAATAATATTTTAATTCAATTTTTTATATTTAATAATATTGATAAATACGATAAGAAATTTGAGACTAATTGAATTGTTCCTTTTTTTTACTTTAATAAAAAACATCTATTATTAAATGAGATTTTCTAATTATTATCATTATGTGATTAGAAAGATCTTTCTTTTCTAATAAAACTAAGAAGTGACATCTATTTGACTGTACAAGACGAACTTTTAAATTTTAGATACACTTCAGAAAAATAATTATTATCTTCAAGTATTCAAATTCCATTAATACATCATTGCGAAAATACAATCGTATAGTAATTTCATTGATTGTTATAATAACAGATCAAACTAATGAACTCTCTACTTGTGTTAATCGAATACAAACGAACTGTTTACTTATCATCAGTGGAGGATTTAGGGGGGGGGGGCGATCGTCTCTTCCTTCAGAAATTTTTTTTGATTTTTTACAACAAAAATAGGTTTACACTACTTCGATTGTACTCAAAAAATAGTTTTTAGCCAAAATCGCCTCCCCCTCCCCAGGTATTGCTCCTGTCTACTTAGGCATCGTCCCCTCCCCCTTCCAAAATCCTAGATCCGTCACTGCTTATCATTAATATTATGCATTTTATAAAAAAAACAACTATTGTAATATTGCCATCAGTTATTATCATATAAATCTGTACAATACAATAGCCTTGAATAAGAATTCTAAATACAACAGATAAGTTATTATATAATGTGGAAAGAATCTAGTAATATATACTCTGATCAAGTAAGATTATATTTGTTTCTATGGAATACTTATTTAGAATATATCTTTTCAATTTGTTAACCTTGATGTAAAGTATATATGTTCTGTTTTATCAATGTCAAAAGAAGAAAGAAAAATGACCGACAAATCATTTCGGATAGATGTATTCTTTCTTTTTTGTTCATGGTTTATAATAACGTATAAATTTCCGAGAAATCACTTGATAAATTGATTTAAAAGCGTGCATTTTCTCAATCAACAGTTCATATAAATACAAATTTTTGTAAATTGATAAGTTCTTGTTTGATGATTCAAACGGATTCAAGTAAGTGGAAATTTATCAAACAAAATTTATTTTAATTAAATCTTGAAAAATCTTTGACCTATATCAATAAATGAATTCTTATAAAATATATCGAGACTGTTTTGTACAATCAATAATTGTTTATACATTTCGATATCGAATATTGTTTTTATTGGTTAATGTATATGAATAAAATATTGAACTCTTTGTATTTGACTGCATGCTTCAGGCCATTAGACAGTAATTAATCAAAACATGAAGGTAGTACCATTATAATTGATGCCCACGAGCTTTTTGTTTTACGATTACTACTTCAATTTTCACTATGCTACTGAAATATAATCTTATCTCACTTTTTCATAACGTCTCTATATAGTTCACTTGACAATTGATTGATTTGTTTTCTCTTTTTTTTTATTTCTCTTGTCATCAACTACTGAAATTTCAAACTCATTTCTTACTAGTATACCTGTTTCATATAAGTGTGAAGTAGCTCATTTGTTTGATGAACACATGTAGACGAAAAGAAAGAATATAAAACAAAAAGAAGAAGTAATTGAATTGCTTCTTCTTCTTTTTTTTCTTGTTATATTCTCGGTGCCATATGTATACATCTAGATCATCACGAGAGAAAAATGAGATTGAACATAGATTTTATTCTTATTAATGTATGCAAGCTGTGCTGCATTAGCTTGTCATCCATGAGATATAGACATAGAATACAATACAAATAGTAAAACGATGATTACCCCAAGCTGATGCCAACTGAACAACGATTACTCTGTCTTTAGTAACAATTGACAAAAAGAGACTGCAGTCATTGATACTCTTTGCTGCAAGTATGTACGAAGTTATTTCTATGAATTTAGTTGTCGTATTTTTTATTTTAGAAGATTGATTAACTAAATTGACAATCAATTGACCGACAACAAGCTATGCAAATAGAACAATAATATCGTCCCTCTCATTTTTTTCTCTTGCACTATTGTTCTGTTCTTTAATTATCAATTCTCCCAGACTATAGCCTAACGCAAGGCCAATATACATATATATATGTATGAGCGCGCGTATCGTTCAATTCAAGTGGTTAGAGAACTGGCTGCTTGATCATTTGGACATAGTGTGTGCATGCATGCATACATTATATGAATATATATATATATAAACATAAATTGAACATACGTTTCATTTTATACCCACGATTGGCAGCATTATACAAGTTTAACTGCTTCTCTTTTTCTTTATAGATTAATTATTTGATATTCTATTTTAGACGGCAAGATGATATCTTTACATTTATCTCTTCTTGCAATTACTTTAACATTTAGTCATGCATCTAATATTATCTATCTTGAAAATTGTTCATATGCAATCGATCTTTATAAACAATATTTAAATCTTCTTTGGTCATCAAATGATTCTCATACAGTACATATTCAAGCTGTTTATTCTTTATCATCAAATAATTCTCTTATACCCGGACATATCTATACATATTTTTCTCAATCAGTTGCTTTAATTCCATTTTTTGTTCAATGTAAATATCCGGAAAATTTTTCTGTTAAATCCTATTTACCATTTACTCAATGTTCATCAACAATATCGAATATAATTACACAACCAAATCATGAATCAACACGAACTTATCTTAATCTAAAATCAATTCTATCAATGACAAATGTTCCTTTAATTTATACAGGCGAATATAATGTTTTATTATCAAATTGTTCATTTCAAGTTAATTCAAATATCTATCAATTAAATCCTAATGATATATTTCTATTTCGTATTGAATATGAAAATTCAATCAATACAAACATAAAATCATGTCAAACATGTAATAAACGTACATCAATATGTCATGAAAATAAATGTTTATGTCGTACAGGTACAATTCCAACGAAACTTTATCAAAATAAAGAATATTGTATTGATATAACATCAAATTGTTCATATGATACACAACGTTGTTTAACTTCCAAATCAATACATGTATTAAATCCTCGTTCGAATATATTTATTTTCATATTAATTATAATTATATGTTTACTTTTTATAATATTTCTCGTTTTATTATGGTGTCTATTTCGTAATACATCGAAACATACATTTCGTAAAGAAAAAGATTATTCATCGAATCAATCGATATTTATGATTAATAGACATGAACGTACACCATCAACAATATCAACGACTGATTCAACAAAATTAAGTGATTTTAATCATATTGATCAATATATTCTTAGTAATGAATATGTTAGTACATTTTATGAAGAATATCCAAAAATAATTTCGGATAAAAATAATGGAGAAGTTGTTTTAATTTTAGCGTAAAATAATATCATTTTCTCTTTCTGTTTTCTTGTTTACTGTTTTACTAGTCATTCATTTTATTTAAATAAAAAAAAAACATATATATATATATTATATCAATATTATGTATTTCTATGTAATACTAATGAAATATGCGAGAAAAATAGATGTCTGAAGTGCTCTGCTATGGTATTCGTCAGATTTGTCGTTCTGTTCTATTTATAACGAAGAAAAATAATAACTGAAAGAACGAAGTAAAGTATATAATACGATGAGAGGTAGCCTTGACGCGTTTAGTTGCCCTCTCATTTTATAAAGAGGAATGAGAGTAGCGTGTGCATACGATGATGCTGTTAGATTGAGAAGCACACAGATAATCATGATATAGAATCACATACTCTTTTATATCGTTCTTTTTTTATTTTAATACCTAGATTATTTAGCATCAAAATTATGGTGAAAACAACAGAAAATAATTCAGATACAGCAGCAACAGAGCAACTAGCTGCACACCCAGCTCAAATTCCGACTCATCCAGATGAGAAAAAAAGTCTACCAGCACCAAATATTGTTCCTGATGGAGTGTCACCACCAATACAACATCCATTAGATCCATTAAATGCTGGTAAAGTTTATAAAGAATAAATAAAAGAAATAGGTCATATTATGATTTAGATGAAATAAACTTAACAACACGATTACTTCTGGCATCATCAAAGTTTCAAAAACATATGCGTATTATAGCAATAACTCCAAATGAACCTGACAATAAACAATCTGTTCTTGATTATAAATCAAAAGATCAATTACAACGACGTGCTACTGCAACAGTTCGTGATCCCAAAGGTCGAACAACTTATGAGTTTGTTGTTGATTTAACAAATAAAACTGTTGAAAAATGTACTGAATACAAGAATGGTCAACCTGGCTTAACATTTGACGAAATGGTTGAAGGGGATGATTTACTTCGTGCAAATAAAGACTTGTTAGCTGCATTTGCAAAAAGAAATATTAAAATGGATGATGTTGTTTTTTATCCATTTTCATCTGGTTATCGTGATGAAACAGATTCATCATCTAAAAGACGAATCTATCGTCCATATGCTGCTGTTAGAAAACATCCAGAAGATAATTATTATGCACATCACATTGATGGTCTTGTTATTACTGTTGATTTAGATTCGTTTACAGTTGAAGTTGAAGATCATGCTATTATACCAATAGCTCCAAAATCTGGTAATTATGATCCAGAAGGTATTAAATCACCAGACAATGT